CTGTGATAGACTGGTGACCTGTCCAGGTGAACCTGCCTTCACCCTGAGTCAGCTGGGATAGACTCCAGCGACCCTAGTGAGGATTAAGTGGTGTATAGATGATGGATGGATGGATGATTATTTGTATTACAATTTTTTTAAAAAGCTGGGATCAACACATACTCCTTTTTTTCCCCAAGTGCAAATAGTTGTTACCAATACTGGAAAACAAAACGGTGGCTCTACATACTATATTTCTTTCACTATTTACATTTTCATTTGTTTCCACATTTGTTTCCTCTCTGCTCAGTGTAAACTCTGCCTGCAGTTCAACCAAAAAGTCCCTGGAACTGTTGGTTGCAGCCAAGTCACGAACGGCTTCACAGTTTCACATTATTTCTTGTTTTTCACAGTAACTGGACACTGCAAACTGATTATTTTATCAAATTCTTAAATGAGATGGAGAATAAACTACTTTTGATGATAAAATGCCATAAATCGTTAAAAAAGAGGAAAACTTAAGTGGAATTTCTTTGATTATTTGTTTTACAACAACTATAAATACAAAATGTAACCAACATGTACAACATTTTTCCAAGTGACAGCAGGTCTATATTGGGAGAAAAAATGGGGTTCTAGATGTTATAGATCGGCTTGCTGACGTGGCCTATTTCCTATTTCCTCCCATTTTTACAACCTCTACAAACTCGGTCACATCAACTCTAGAAACATATTTCCACATGCTGAATATATCTTCGAACAAAAAGCTGTTGCTCTGTACGCTGTTTTTGAGCCATGCTGCATTTATTAATGTAGGTTTTATTTTCGTCTTACATTATTATTTTTCGTTTTCTTCTCTCTGCTCTGTGTAAACGCAGCCTGTTGTGCTCACCAGAAAGTTTTTCTCACATAAATGTTGATCAAAGCTGAGGAGTGCAGAATTTTTTTATTGTTTCAATGATCTGAACTGTTGATTTTGGTTAATTTCTTGAATGAGACAAGTCAAATAAGATCATTGTTGCGATATATCACAGTTTTAAGCTTAGATTTTGTTCATTTTCTTGCCAGAACGTCATCTCACAAGGATGTCAGAAAGCTGAAAATCTCACATTCTCTCTGTTTTACAGCTAATCAATTATTTTAAAAGGAAACGTGACTGTCAAACCTTTCAGAATCAGAGGGTTAAGCTAACAAGCTTCTAAACGTGTCAGCTCAGTAGCTTGGCTCTGGTGCTAAAATGACAGTGAGTTAACATGATTTATTCAAAAAGCGTATTCGAATCACTGACTCTTGTCTCATAACTGTCTGCAAATTATTCCTCTTTTGTGGGGCAGTTTTTCCACCAACAGATGTTAAAATATCCTCTACTCCAGTTCCCTACAAGACTCAGCACTGACACAGATTTGCAGGTCAAAAAATTCACTAAATTTGAACTTCATACATGAATTATTTTCTTCTTTCTCAAGTGCATTCTTTAAATGTGGTGACCTGATTTCTGCAGGAAATTTTGCAATTAAAAAAAACAGGCCATTCATGCTTTAATTCAGATTGATTATTTGAAAGGTAATTATCCTGAAATGGCTGAAAAGGCAACAATTAAGGAGCCAAAAGCCGAGAATAAAAGCCTAAAAATTGGCTTAAAACAGTAAATAACTGTAACTGAAGTGAAGATATCAATTAAAAAAGAAAACAATAACACCAGCAAATGAGAAATTATATACCATGAAAGTCCCGCCATAGTTGATCTAAACAGAAATTTTCTTTGATTGTACCTTCTGTAAGTGTAGAAATGATTTGCCATGGAAGCTCTCTGTGCTGAAAGGTGGCTTTCTGCTAATATTTCTGCTGTCTGAAAAAATAATCAGCATTGTTTTCAAGTTAAAAATATTCCCCACAGCTCGTGAAAAGCTGTTACTTTGGAGATATACGGTTGTCATCTGACAGCAGCATTATGCAGCAGGCAGCTCCAGCAACAAAAAAAAACACAAAAAAGATCAATAACAGCATCATAAAAGCCTGAAAGCTTTTCTTTCTTTTGTAGTCTATCACGGTTCAGATTTAAAAGCATGTCAGTGACAGCAACAAAAAGGCACCAAGAAAAACAGATCTTGTTATTTGCTGCAGCCTCTGCAGAAGATGAAGAGTCTGTCTGACACTAATCCCAGTTATATTTGGAATTTATCACTGGATAGTTTATTGAGGATGGACAAAAACAGTTTGCTTTTTACTCTCTAGCAGCAGCCAGAGAAGGAAAGTGACACCTAATCAAATGTGAATCCGTCTTACGGGCTTTTAAAACGAACCTCTAGCAGGAAATGTATTTACCACTGAGGAGTGACAGCAGCAGAATCGCTCTTATGTGCAGGAGAAACAAAGACAGACAGCAGCACGGATTAGGAAATATTTGGGATTTCTTTGATGCCGGCAGCTTAATTACGGTGTTTTTCTTTTCTCTATCGTGTGGAAGTGAAGGTGGGAGGGCGGACTGGAGACAGAAACGCACAGAAATTAGACTCCGAACGTGGAGCCAGCTCATAAATCCACCCCTGTGAGGCGAGTTTTGATGGTTATCGGTTGTCATGGCAACAGATGCGGCGCAGCTGGGAGGCGGTTGGGGGAGGTTCAGGTATCTGGCTGCGCTGCCGACGGCTCACCTGCGATGGCGTGCGGGTCTGCGGAGTATTCCTGAACGTCCAGCACGCCGCAGTCCAGAGACGCCTTCAGCTTCTTCAGCTTGGAGGCCGACGGAGCGATTCGGAACAAACCCTGAGACACAAAGAGGGAAGGTCACGACTCTGCTGCAGCAGGGACAGTAAAGAGGCTTTGTTCTTTTACCACAGTACAATTAGCAATACCACAGTGTAGTCAAAATGTACTCATAGTACCGGACATACAAATACTGATGATGCAGAATGTCCTGTTGCAGATCATATTATGTTTGTGGATTATAACTGATTAATGTGTGAGTGATACTTTAATGTTGCAGCTGGTAAAGGCAGGGTGACTGCAGCTGCTTCTCATATTAGTTATTAATTAAATAACACTTAATTAATAGTTCAGCTCAGACCAAGCAGTGGAAAGCTGTAATATTTATTAGCTAGACTGGATGCATATTGTAAATATTTGCAATTCAATTTTTCTTTGTCAAAAATTGACAAATAAAACAATAAATATAATTTCAGATATGCACATCCTTATTCTTGTAGAAGAAATGTTATCACTTTGACCATTTATGCCTTTCTCATGACAGATCTCTTCAGTTAGGCTGCAAATATCCACAATATTCACATTATAGATATCTGCAGAGGAATTATGACTCATTAAAATTTCAGAAATATATAATTTATTTCTAAGTAGTCATAACTCTAGTTCAAAATATCTTTAATGGCAGTCAATTAAAGTGTTGTCCTTTTTAGATAACTTAAATCAAGTTGGTCAGAATGGTGTAATACTAGTGATGCACGATACCGATACTGATATCCGATATTAAAATTTCTGGCCGATACCGATATCCGATATTAAGATTTCTGATATCGTCGATAACTGATATTACCCATGTAGATATTCAATTTTTGTTCACACTGAAAAATGAGTATAAGTAAGCCCTGTGAGGACGTGACAACAATTAGACCATATAATCTTCTTTATTACGTAACAAAACTACCACATATTTTAACATATTTAACATTCAATCCAGGATCATTTATGTAAAAACATCTGTGAAATAGCAGCAATATCAAATGTAGAGACAAAGGCACTAATGATAATCAATCATCGGTTTTTCACATCGGCCCGATACCGATATATGGGAAAAAACACCAATATCGGCCAATACCGATGTGGTCGCCGATATATCGTGCATCCCTACATAGCAGTACTCAAACTGAATTTCTAAAGAGTCAAAATGTAATTACAGATACCTCAAATTAGAGTTTTAACGAGATTAAGTGACACAGCAGATATCTGCAGATTAGCCAGAAGCTACAACAAGTGGGAGGTGGAGGCGGCTTGGTTCTCAAACATACCGAGGCGCTGCAACTGGAGCTGCACATGAAAAGCCGTTTTACTGCCAAGTCAGTGAAGCCTGAGGCCGAAGTTCTAGTAAATTTCGACCACAAGTTTCTAATGAACGAAACTCTTGTTTTCCACAAACTCCTTGCTGAGAAACGCTTCCCATTTCCCACAGTGTTTACCAACCATCTTGTCTGATTTTACATCAGCCGACGCTGTTTAAACGATTTACAATACCCACGGGAAGGCTTGCATGGACAGAATTCACATGAGTCATAATGACATTTGAGGTATCTGCAGCTATTACTTTGACTTGTTCAGACTGAATTCCAGATATCACTGATCAGAATGATACTGTAGATAAATCCAGAACAGTCACGGTGTCCTTAGTCGGACTAATGCTGCTGAAATGATCATTTTAATTCCAGAAAGTCAAACTAAGATAATACAAACCAAGATACGAGCACAATATTGCTCACAAAAAACAAAACGACATATAAGAAACGCAGCGCCTAGTAGAAAAGCAGTAAGAAATAAGTATGATACATTACTGAAAGTTAAATAAGAAAATAAAATAGAACAGAAAAGTAAAAATGTAATGCTAACTGTTGAGGTGATAAGTAATAACATACATGATAATAAAATATTATAAATCCAAAAAAAGAGGCGTTTATTATAAATTTATGCTTTATTCTAACCCACAAAGCAAAATAAAATCAAGTTTTTAGCTCTCTTGCGGCTCTTTAAGTTTCCAAAGACACCAATTTGTCAGGCTACAAATCAGTGAATTTCATTTAAAATGATTAAAAAGAGAACTGAGTTAAAACAGGCTAGTTGCTATTAAATCAGATTATTTACAGAACTCATTCTTTCTTGCTTTATATTTAGTGTTGGGCAGAGAGTTGTGTTACTAGTTGAACTACATTCTTCAGTAGTTTGGTGTTAACAGCTGTTTCCTGAATAAAAAAGCTTTTCTGTAGTGAAGCCTTTTTTTGTTGACAAAAATTGAAAAGAACTTGAATTAGCAACATTTTTCCAAGAGCCCACAGGTGTTACTAATACTGAGAAGAAATGTGAAGGCTCTACATAATATAGATTGTTTTTTTTACCACTTACATTTTTAATTAATAACTTGTCTCCTATCTGCTTTAGGTAAATCACAGTCTGCAGTTCATCTGAAAAGCCTCTGAATTTTTGTCATGTGACTGTTGGTTGGATAAATTTTGTTGAGCAAACAGTTTATTTTTGGCAGATTTTTAAATGAGACATGCAGAATACAATTATTTTGGTGAAGCATCACAATTCAGCGTTTAGATTTGGTTGATTTTTTACAACCAAAGTGAAAGTTACACATGAGAAGTTTGGGGAAATTGAGAAATTTGAGACTTAAATGATTCACTTTTGCTGTGATAAATGGTGCAATTTTGTTAATTTCCAAAATTAAAACCTTTAAAATCCACCAGTGAGTTTTAGGGTTCAGAGGGTTAAACTGGTTCTAGTGAATTCATTAAAGACACAGTAGAGGATGATTTATTTCAGGCATTAAGCAAACAGTTCTGTCCTGGACCTCATTAGATTTCCATCCAGTGAACAAGACCGACTCGTGCCACATTTCTCAGCAGGTGGAGTGTCGCTGCGAGTGTGTGAAGTCGGTCGGGTGTTTACCTCCTCCTGCATGCCACACTCCAGCAGCATGGTGACACAGGCCTCGATGGGAAACGCAATATCTCTCCCGCTGAGCGCTAAGTGCTCCTCTAATGGTTTCCCGTAGCACGGCTTCTCCACCCAGGTTTCTGTCAAACACACACACACACACACACAGTGGAAATACAGCAGCAGCTCTACCTTCCTCTAAATAATGATGCTCGAGAACTTTCTCTCGAGCTGCAAAGACGTGCAAAATCAAAGAGCAGAAGTAAGTTTTCTGACTGAACTTCAAGGCGCTCAAAAGTTGTTTTCTTACCGACTATAAGCAGCAACTTCCTACAGTAGATGACCACATTTTCATCGGCTTAAACTAACAATAACAGAATCAGTCTGTTACTAAACAGTTATACTGTATAATAGACATTCAACAGTTTGGGGTCATTTCATCTCAAATCATCAACATTTCTGCTTGACTTTCTCTGTTTTCCCTGCATAAACTATTGATATTTATTAATACTTTTATAATATTCTAGCTCGACATATCAAATATTTTCCAAATAATAATACTAATCATTTTCAGACAATTGCCCATCAAACCACACAATGAAATTTTAAGCTGTTTGATTGACAATATCTCAGAAACGATTAAAGACAAAAGCCTCAAAACTTCACTGTTATTTCTCATCAAGTCATTAATTTAAAATCAGCAATATTGGGAAAGGAAAATATTCTTAAAACCAAGGCTTATGTCTACAAAGTGCTGTCTAGACTTGAAAAAATATGCCCAAATGAAAACAAAGATTTTCTTTTTTTGTCATTGTGGTTTGTCCACCTCTAAGATGATTATATTACCACACAATCCATGGATACAATAGAAGAAATTAACAATAAATCTCAGTGAAACCACTGATATATTATATGAGTTTAAAATCCTACTTTTCAATTTTAGTGAACTTAAGTGGTTTCACACAAAAATTAAATGACTTCATACTGTTGTCATGACAAACTGTGACTTTCTTGACTTGTAAAATCATCTTAATAGGTCTCATTTATGGGATCAGCATCAAAAAATAATATATTTTTTGTACATATTTTGGAAGAAATAAGGCCCTTTGTGGCACATTGGGCTGCGCTGCCTTAAAGGCTAAAATCAGAGAATAAAAGTCTCTTGTTACAGGAGAAACCTCATTACTGCCAGACATGCACTGAATTTAATGCTATCTTTATGTAACTATACAGTAAATCTCCCTGCCGTGATCTTCCAGCACTGTCTATATATACTTTTTATTCATCACGCACGGACAGTCCTGCACTAATGCACAGTGAATTCTAATTCATTATCATCATTGTACAGTGTGTCCTCAGTACATCGGGACCCGTAATTGTTTTGTGATTTATGCAAAGTGACTGCTGCAGTTTCCCTTTGGCAATAACAAAGTACTCTGTGTGAACCTGCGTCTGCCTCCTGAAACTTTGATTGTTGCTTATTAACTCTCAAACGCTCAGAGAAATTTGAAGGAACTCTGACAAATCGTAGGTGATTTCCCTCCGGTGACAGGAGCACCTATAAGGATTGGTGATAACTTTTATTTGCGCTGACTGCAGATCGGATTTCCTCGTGGTGATGCGAGCGGCAGTGAGGGGTTACCGAGAGGTGACGGCGTCACGAAAAAAGTCTGTCGGTCTCAGACTCACCCTGATGAGCTTTGATCTGCGGCAGAACACTCTGAAGCAGCTCTAATGACTTCCTGTGGTACTCTGCCTGGACTTCTATCAGCTGCACAGACAGAAAGAGAGTTTTAAAAAAAAGAAAAAAGTCTGTAGAGGATGTTTTCAGTCTGTTCTCTAAGGCCACAGTCTGTAGAGATGCTGCACTTACTGTCTGGAAGTAGCTTGCATAGTCAATTTCTTTGGCCACAAAACTGTACATGTCTGCTGATAGCTGATCCTGGTGGAAAACAACACAAAGAACAAACTGCATGAGCAAAAAACACAACACAAAACATGTCTTAAAATACCCTTTTCGACATCTAAACACTTTTGAGTTTTCAGAAAAGGGAAAGCAAAGGCGGATTTAATTGCATGTATAATAGCTGTAAGCTCGCGGGTCTCACTCTGTGTAGCTGAGCTAATGTTATTAGTTACACCTGTGAGGCTCCTGCAATGTCTGCCGTGGAAAAGGTTCGTAAAAAGGTCAGAAAATACAGCGTATAGGAGTAGAAAATTAATTAGCAGTCGACACCCGTGCAGAGTTTCTGGAGAACAACTAAATCCTGTAAATATTAGAGCTCGTGAGCGGCTGATTGGGGATGAATGGTGCAAAATTTCAACAGATGCAGACATTTAAATCCTGCTAATAGCCCCAAAATAATCGCATTTTGCAGGATCGCTGTGCGCACGATACGTAAACTACTCCATAATGTCTTTGTGAATTATGTCAGCTGATGGGAACTGGGCCAAAGCAGTGCAGAATAAAAATAAACTGCCTCACAGCTGTGTTCCCTCCTGGTCATGTTTTCCATCTTTTCCTGCTTCACACACACACACCTGGTTATCTGTGTGAGAAACTTACAGCTAAATAAAATCTGATTAAGAGTGGGTAGAGTAGGGAGAGACGGAAAACTGTTTGAAGAAAACCAGTTTATGTGCAAAAATGTGGCAAAAATGTATAATACTGAGCTAATTTCTTCTTTTAAGAGTGAAAAGTTTCCGAAGTTCTAGTAAATATAAGGTTTAGTAATTATTTTATGTGCAAATTTGGATCTCAAACCGGGGGGCTTAGAATCTGGTTTGTTCGACGTTATTTGGGTCAAATCTGTCTAGAATCTGCACTGTTAAAATACAAAATCCAAGTAGGGTTCTACATCCTGTATCTTGTCTGCAGAGGGACTCACATTATCTTTATTTTGTGCTAATTTGTTGTCAAGTGTGTAAAGTGTCTGATTAATTAGTTTTAATTTGTTCTGAGTGTGAAGTAATGAACACACAGGAAACAACCTCAGACAAGGTTGTATTATTATGTCATTGGAGAACTTTAAGGCTGCGACGAACAGTTAACTTCATAAAAATATGAAGTATGACAATCAAAAACCAGGACAAATCCTAGAAATTAGGAAATATTTACAGTAAGAAAACTGTTTTTTACTGAAAGAATGACAAAAGATGAACAAGTTTCCAAATTCTTGAGCTACAGTCGACCAAATAATCAATCAAGTGCTTATTTTCTACACTGTTGCTTGGTTTCTGGTCGGAAACACATTTTTGCTCTGATATTGTGACTTTGCTAGTAGTTTCGCAGACAAATCTGCTCCAGTGGATCTTCTTTTTACAGCAGACACGTCAATATTTCACAGCAGGAAAAGCACAAGTGTATTTAATATCACTAATCATGGCCAAATTCCATTTCGGTGTGCAAATGTTGAGCTGCGTCTGAAATCACCACTTTGTACAGACGCATCTCAAAAATGTTTAATATTGTGAAAAGGTTTAATATTTTCCATCAGTTATTCAAGAAAGTGGAATGAAAATAGAATACATGGAAGTTTAGCTTTATGAATTAAATTCTGAAAACAATATTTTTTTTCACAATATTTACATTTTTTTGGAATATAAGTTTAGAACATATGAAATTGAAGAGCATTTTTCTTGCTGCCTCTTTGTCACAACTTACTGGGACGCCTAAATTAAGTTTAAAAGATTTTCTGTTTAAAAGGTCTGTAGATGTGGAAACTTGAAGCCTGTGCTAAATATTTAAAATTTCAAAAAAATATTTGCATAAATTCTGGAATTTTCAATCAGGCAGGATGTGCAGAAATCTTCAAAAATGTCTGGAAATCTTTATCTGACTTGTAAATGGCCTCATAGTTGCACCATCTACACCAGAAAATAATATTTTTCCTCTTTGCTGAAGCTTAAATGTTCCACCAAAATGAATTAAAATCCTAAAAAAATATTTTAAAAAAAATAATCCTACAAATCAATACACAAAAAGGACTAAAACAACCACAGCTAGCTGATATTAACAGTATAGAAAATGACATCATATTTTGTGCCAAAGTCTCGTTTTAACTGGTTTTTATCAGCTGATCAACATGAAACCAGAACCCTGAAAGCACAGCTATAAAAATGTTAAATATCTCACTTAACAGATTATTAACAGATTTTTGGCATCTTGCAGGTAGATTTGATGTTTTACAAACTCATAAAGTTGCTTGTGCACATGCCGTTGACATAAAGCAACACTTATCCTGTATCTAAAACTACATTTCTGACCGATCAATGAATTTAACTTTCATTCACTTTTTGCTCAATTGTTGGTCTCCTCCGCCAACTCTTAAGGGAAACTTCTGCCTCTTTAGATGTTAAATGCTGCAACTTTTGCTGGATTTATGGTAATAAACTAGTGAGCACTGACTCGACAGATCTCCATGCGGTTGGCTGCCTCCTCCATCTCTTCCCTGAGGTGGTCGGCCTTCGCTCCCGTTGGCTGCAGGTTGCTGGACAATCCCGAAGACTTGGTAGACTGGTAGTACCTGTGAGCAGAGCATAGTTTGTTTTCAATATGCTTCCGGTGACTTTGAGAATTTTATTGGAGAAAAACCTCAGAAAAAGCAGCATGCTACAGTGAATGAAGGCATTTTTATTTGCCTTGAGCAGCTCCAGACTTTTGTTCCTCGGAGAGAAAACCGTTGACAGCGAAACCTGACAGCTACTTTCACAAAATGACTCACCGCAAACAAATCAAACAGTTTCTGTAAAAAAAAAAAAAAGCAACCGTGGATTAAGTCTTTGGCTGACAAAATACTAACACTTGTCTATCTATATATCCTCATTTATTCAACTTAAGCTATTCTCTGTTCTCAGACTCTCCTGTCTGTCTGTCAGACTTTCTGTCTGAGTGCAGATAATTCGCTGCCAGAGGAGCTCAGCTCACAGCCGGATGATGGCAAAAAAAAATTGCTTCAGATCTGGGTCAGTAAAAAAAAAAAAAAAAAAAAAATGGACTGCAGTGAGGAAAATAACATTGTGCATATCACTGCTGTGCACTGATGTGACAGTGAATCAGCTGAAAGAAACTGTGGCGATGGTGTGTTTCAGCGATCAGGAAACAGTTTCTGATTGGACCGGGACGGTTAAAAGGTTTTCACACCCGTTCTGAAGTTCAGTTTGAGGAAAAAGGCACAAAAACACAATCACCACTCAAAAAGTTTTGCGGTTTTTGAGCCTGAAGGACCACAACACATTCTTTCAACTGTAACAGCATGTTTTACACTCATTTATTATTTCAACAATCAAATTTGCCTTCAATAGATCATCAGTGTACCAATTATGAAGGGGACCACTTCACCTGAGCAAAAAACTTGGGTTGGAAGTATTTTTTTTAAGCCATCATTGCAGCAAATATCTCAACAACTACTTGAAATGTCATGTAGATATTGAAGAAGCCACAGAGAATGGAGCTCTATATCTGTGGCAGCCCTCTGACGTTTCCTCCATCAGGTTATAGTTTTGATTCTACAGTCAAAGTCCTTTGAGATAAATGGAAGTAACGTATTCAGCATCATCCTCAGGCCATGGTTTTTAAAATATCTGACATGTTTTACAACCAAATTCCTGCAAAACTTACTTTGTGCTTCCTGCTAATTTGAAAATGTTAGCACGATAAACCAAGATGGTGAATGTGATAAACATTATGTCTGCTGAGCGTCATCAAGCTAGCATCAATATTAAAGTTAATACTTGTTATTTTTTCCCTACTTTAAGCAATTAAATTGTCATAAATGTTCAGTAATGTGCAAAATCCAGCTACATGACTGTTTTTATAGTGATCCTAATAAACCAAATAAGCTATTTCACTGTTTTCATAGCCCGCAGTTGTACTTTTTTTTTAAAAAATAGATTTTACATTTGCACATTTATTATTGCACTTAAAAAAAAGTTGTCTATTTGTGTAAATACACTGACAGGATTGCTGCTTAAAGTCGTTGTACACTGCAATGACAGCAAAGAAACTAGCTTGAGATGAGCAGATTTTTGTCGTTTTTGTTTTAACGCTTTTCTTCAGCTGCTGTTTGGGACCTGATTTTATAAACGTTGATTCATTAATACTTTAAAAAAAGATAAACATTACAGAACAAGAGTCAAAGACTAAATCAGACTTTATAAACAGAAAAAATGTATCTGCAAAATATCATTAGAAACTAAATATGCAAATTTTGGAGGGGAAAATCTAATTAAAACATTTCAGTATTACATCAAATTTTCTCATTGCTGCAATAACAGATGATTCATGTGGTGAAGAAATGTTTTTAAATGTCTTTAAATGCCCTTCAAAGTACACCAGGCTGTAATAAAACTGAAGCAAAATTTGAAGACACTTTTCTGTGTTACAAGACAACAGCAGCATTTACAAACGTCTAATTTCACATAACTTAAGCTTATAAGTCAGTAATCACTTTGACAGCTCCATCTGTATGCTAAAGACCAGAGATGTTGTTATAAGTAACTTGTTTTACATGTAAAGTAACCTCAAACCCGAGATTAGCTTTAACCTGCAGCGCTACAAAATGCAAACACTGCTGCAGAAACAATATTTATGTTGCATTAAACTGCTTCGTATTGTTTCCGTCTACAGCAGCAACTGTGAGCATGAATTATTCAGTGATCTGAGGGATTTGAACCCTGTTAGAAGTGAGTTTAACAGCCTGATGTACAAAGTCAGTATTATAGCTCATACAGGAGAGAACTGCTGCGTTCATCAGGTTTATAATCGCAGAACAAAACCAAACAGGCCGAATCTGGCTTTCAATGAGTTTTTCACACACCAGCACCAGTCTGCAGTGTGAAGCCTGCAGGTTTGTCCACACACACACACAAACAGCAGCTTCACTGTGTGCAAACGAACCCCAGTGACATTCAGTGGGAAGCGTCGGGAGCGGCTCATTCACAGGGGATGGAGTTTCTCGCTTCACAGCCAAACTTCCTTCTCTCACAGCCACGCACTCACCGTGTTCGTGCAGAGTCCATGTCCAGGACCAGCTTCGCTAAATGTTTCCTTTGTTTCTGGATGTTTGGGATTTCCACCTGAGAGGACAGAGCGGGAGATTTCACATCAGCCTGTTGTTTGTTGGTGAGCAGAAAGCAGAAACAGACTCTGTATTGTAGCTGGATCTGCACCTGTTGTGGTAAAACGCGGCACCAGTTTGTTGCTCTCATGAAGATTAGTTTACTGGCTGATTCACAGGATGAGTGTACAGAATATCTGAGAATGCTTTTCTCTGCAATTCTGAATTTACTCTTTGATCAACATGTTGTGTGGATTTACACACAGCAGCAACATCTGTATGAAGCTCATGATGTCCAGTGTTTTTTCTGAAACGTGTTCATTAGATTACAATACGTGACCCATCTGTATGAAGTCATTGCGCCTGACGGTATTTGACAGCGATATGGACCGTAATATTATTACGCTTTGTAATATTATGTTAGCTACATGTAGAAAACAACTAAATGGACCGATCTACGTTATAAACCCAGAATCAATATTTTATCATGTGTTAACGTCAGTCAGACTGTTTCTCGGATACAGGAGGAGCAATGCGGCTGATTTCAGGCAGATGGGTCACATGTATGTTTATTACTGAGGTCAAGTTTAGTTTGTATTGCACTAAAAAATACACATGAGAATGAGGAGAACTTGGTTGCTGGAGAAACGTCTAAAAACTACAAAAAATAATAAACGACCTTGAAGGATTCTATAATAGAGTTTACACCTGCATTTACACTTTATCTTATTTATTTAACTTTTGAAACTTAGTTTTTTTTGTAATTTTGCAATTTTGGTTCAGTTCATTCATGATAAAATAAATTAAAATGCTTCATGTTTGTCCAATAATAAACAACTGGCATTGACAATAAAAAATAGAAAAAACATACTAAAAATAATTGAAACTGTATATTTTTTTTAAATTAAATTATGGAGCTTCTTTCAAAAATATTGGAGTTATTACTAAATGCAAGTTTTAAAGACTCAGTTTTGTATATTTTGGCAAATTAGGACTTTTGTCTAACCTTGTCCTGACAGATTTGAATGCTAACAACTCTCAACACTAATGCAGAGGCTCCTATTTGTCTCTGTCAGGTAGTTTTCTTTATTTATGTTGCAGAAGTTCTTTTGTTTCTGCTATTTTTCCTCCTAATCAAACAGAGGACATACATATTCCGACTATGTTTACAATTAAAATATCAGAAATCCTCCTGTTTTTCTGTTTATGCTACTTGTATGAGCTTCACAGATGTGTTTTATTGTTTAATTTAACTACTGTGCAATGTTGTATCTTCATGAGTTATTGTTGATTAAATTTTAATTTGTTGGAAAAGTTAATGAGAAAACTTAAATTCCAAAGAAAGACATTAATAAATAATATATAACAACAAATGCAGTCCGCAGAGAGAACAGTTTTTCTGATCAGACATTTGTTGCTGCCGTTAACGTCACTGGAGTCCACTAACGAGTTAATATCACAGCGTTGTTGTTTCTGTACCTCTGCGAGGTCGTACAGCGGCTCGATCACGTCCCTCTCGATGGTGAGCTCGAACAGGATGAGCTCCTGAGCGAGCCTGTCCTGCGTCTCGCCGCACAGCTTCAGCATCTTCCTGCAGCGTGAAAACATCAGAGAGCAGCTCGGTGAGGTCTGAGAGAGTTTCTATTTATGCAGCTTTCTCTCACAAACTCCACGGTGACGCCGATTCTGCACATGTACTGTATGACCTAATGCAGCGCAGTGATGTAACACAGAGAAATCCACCTCAGCGCTGGGACCCAACATCCAGCTGTCCATATAAAAGCAGTTTTATTTCACACCTGCAGGAGTTACTGCTCTGGGAGAAGAGTCGGTAATGACACATAAACGTAACCGGCTGTTTTTACTGTCATCAAAATGTCAGTGAGCTCCTGAAAAAAAACACATTTTATATCTTTACAAAGGCACAGAATGTAGAAGACATGCTGCAAAGTGAGAAAACAAACAGAAACAGATTTTATTATTCCTCCAGCGAATAAATAAACAATTAACAACTGTGATGTCTGATTAATTCATGGAGTCATTTTTAAACCAAGAGCGGGGTGGCAGCTTCTTAAATATTTGTTTTCTCACATAATAATCTTAAAGTTTTTAGATTTTTGACTGCTGATCAAACAAAACTAGACATCTGAGTGTATGGATATATGAATATTAGCCTACCTCTTTAAATAATGGTACGTAATATATCAGAATCACATAAATAGAGTGTTAAACTCTATAAAACACACATGGTTACCTGTTTTTATCTTAAATAATCAGTTTTTCAGAACAATTTCTGCTTCTATTTCCGATTTGCTTGAAATTTGAGCATGAAATATGGATATTTATGAAAATATTGGTAAAATTTTAGCTTCATATGTCAAATACTTCAGACAAATATAATTAGAAATGACCTACTTTCAGCACATTCTTTGGCACATTAAAATTTGGGGCTACGTTCAAACAACAATATCTCAGGAAATAACAAAGATAAACACCTAAAATTTTCACTGTTATTTCTCATGATGTTGTTAATTCAGGATCTACAATATTGGACAAGTAGATCAAATAGCCTCTGATAAAGGGTGAGTTGAAATATGAAAAAAGAAAGTAGTATTTGAGCAGGCTTGGATAATATAGCATCAGTTCCTGTAAGTATGAATTCAATAAGTAGATCATGTAAAGGAACAGTGCCGCCTGCAAAGTGGTTTCACCATATAGGTAGACCAAAACAGAAAATATTTTTAAAAAAACATATTAAAATATATATATATATTAGTTGATGAGTTATATTGAAAGAACCGTTTTGAAACTCTTATCTAGCTAGCTAGCAATATTTTTGTTGTTGTCATACAACTTATCACAACTGCTCAACCAGTCATGAAAGTTCATTTTTCTGAGTTCAAGTTGTTCATATTATACAGTGTTCTACATGTTTTATTTTATATTATCGGGACGTGCAGCCACATGTGTTTCAGAAAATATCAGTAGTTGACTTCTGCATTATAAAGTTTGTGTTCATTTCTGCACAAAGTTCATGACAGCTTCAGTCTTTATTTATTTTATTTATTTTTTAACATTTCAACTAACCCATAATTAGAGAATATTTGACGATATTGTCCAATATTGCAGATTCTGAAATAATTTCATGAATAAAAGCGAAAATTTCAGGCAAATTTCATTTTTTATCTTTAGTAATTGTTGAGATATTGGTGTTCAGACACCCTGTAATTTAATGTTTAAATAAACGTGCTTTAAGTGTGTCAATGGGCAATTTTTAAAACTATTTTCATCTTGTAAAGTATTTGATAAATCAATCTAAAATTTCATATCTTCATAATATTCAAATGTTTTGCTATAAAAAAATTCAAGCCATTCAGAGGTTTAGCAGAAGGACCCTGATGATTTAAGATGGAATAGCCCAGTTAAGTTTAAATGGTGCATTCTTTGCTCTGTATTTGGTTTAGTTTCCTAATTTAATTTGTATAATGAGGCTTTCCTCGTTAAATGAAGCTTAAATCGGCAGATAAAAGATCGAGCATTTCCCATTTTAACAGTGGTTAACATTTGCATTCATTTGCCTGCACGCCCGCACGTAAATGTAAAATCAGTTCTGGATCATAAAAACATCTCTTTTCCACGTCGGCGCCTTCGGAGAGAGAAAGATGCTTCCAGTGCAACAGATAATCAATGAGGATGTAGACGTGTTGCTCACCCGAGCAGAGACTCGTCTCCGAGCACAGCTGCACCCTCCACCATGCATTGTGCGAGTGTCGTGAGAGGAAGCTTCTTCTGCACAGAAGAGACAAGCAGAGACACAGAAACAGTCGATGAATCTCTGAAAAGTGTGATGAATAAATGAAACCAGTCACACAGAGAACACAGATATCTGGATCAGAAACACCTGAAGGTACAGCTTGTTGTCCCACATTAGCTTATCAGTTTGGTAAATATTCATTTAATTTTTTTTAAGCAATTAACCAAAAAAACATTGCTTGTTGTTGTGGCTTTTTCTTGGCCTCCAGCCGTGAGTTTATTCATCCAGGAGAAGGTCCTGTGCTGCCTTCTGGCTCAGATTATCCCCAAAACTACTGGTTTCTCTAAAAGATAATTAACTGGTGATGTCTAAAACACTCACAAGGTGTTTCCAGGATCCTCAAAGACTCTTCTGAGCGTCCCAATGAAAAAATATTCCATCTACTAAACGCCTCTGTTTCCAAATCAAAACAAATACTGCGTAGGAAACAGATTGTGCAGCAAGTCGAGGATCTTTTTTTTTCCTCCAGATGCTCAGAAGAATCTCTGAGGTTTGTTCAGACACTTTCACAAAGTCCTCCTGGGTTTTTCAAACATCGCCGGTTAATTATCTTTTAATGAATCCGATGGCGACCTGATTAATACATGTGCAACACAAACTGGAGCTCGACTGTAACGTGCTGCACAAACTCAACCTGCATGTTTATTTTATGCCTCCACATTCAAATATGAGCATGTTTTTGTTAAGTTTTTTTCCCAAACAGAAGTTGGCTCCATCATTTTGCTTCTTATGTACAGTCACATTGCAATCAGCTGCGATTTGGGAGGCGTGTAAATCAGCTCCTCTGAGAAACTCTGAGTAACTCATAATAACTTATTTATATGGCACTTTCCTGAACCCTCTCACCAAAAGCAGTTTCTGGGTGTTTCTTATTTCTTCCTGTTTTATTTTTACCTTTAAAAGTTTATTTGCAATACTGTGTTTTTCTCTGTTTTTTAAATCCTGATGATTTCTTAATGTTCCTACTGTAGAAGCACTTTGATTTTGAAAAGTGCTCTATAAATAAAAGTTATTATCACTATTATTCAAAACAGAACAGCACTTTGGTTTTTCTCCTGTTCTTAAATGTGTTTTATAAATAAATTCGACTTGACTCTCTGCTTTGTGTGAACACATCCTGCAGTCCAGCCGAAAGTCCTGTAATATTTATCAGGTGCCTGTTTGTTGCAGTCATTCATGGCTTCATGAACGCAGAATTTTTTGCTTTTTACAGAATCTGCTTAGAACAAATGATTTATTTTTGTCAATTTTTTTACAAAACGTATATGAATAAAGTGATTTTAGGCTGACTGTTGGTTGTTGAGTCATTCAAGGACCGTCGGAAAATTCAAAATCCAATGATTCTTTCCGATTTTACAGTTTCTGGCTCTGACGAATGGTGCAATTTTGGCAGTTCTTAAAATTCAAACTCCTGTAGTTACATTTTTTCATTTAATATTATCCCTGCCAGTTCATCACACGCACACACAATTTATTCTTCTGTCCTCTTTTGTGACTTTTGTTTCAGGGAACCACTTCAAATACACTTGAAGCACCGTTTTATGTCGATGACACATTAATTAAGATTTAAATTCATAAATAAACTTCTGTACTTCAGTAGCTCGGATGTGTTTCAACAAGATTTCTGCTCAAACTTTGTGCACATTTAGAAGATATCACACACATTTCTGTTTGATATTATGAAGAAAAGAGACCTGCTGCTGCTGCTGCTGGAGGCATTTTTGCATCTTTTCAGAAAAAGTGAGACGCTTCTTTCATGTGTATTCGGTGCACATGTATTAAATACTGCCTATGAATATGCTTTTATACATTCAGGCGATGCTCGATGCAGCTGAAGCGAGTGATTTAATCGTCTGCCTCTGGTCAGACTTCACGGAGCGAATCATTGCTGTTTACTTGACCGAAGTGGTGCCAGCAAGACATTTGTGACCAACCGTGCAGATATTTTTGATGCTTTAATGAGAAGACAGATGCAGATATTCAGCCCCCACTGGGCCCGCTATGAAAGACTCCCCACCAGACGATGTTTGTCTTTTATCTATGTGTTGTTTGCATCTGTGTGTGTTTTATGGCCCAGAATGCACCTGTAATAAACTGTTATTATTATAATTGCATTTATTTATTCAGTCCCGTTGAGAGTTAAACGTCTTTTTCAAGGAAAATTGAAGCATACATATATAAAACTGAAACGCACAGAGAGAAGCATTAAACACAATCGTTAATAAACAGCAGAGATGGCAGTAAAAGTAGTTAAATAAGTTCATTTAAAAAGCTTCTAAATGCCCCTGGGCGACCACATTGTGAGGTTTTACAGTGTGTTGTAAACCTTTGCAGCAGCGAAACTAAAAGCAGCTTCTACGAGTTGAGAATTGACCCGAGGAGCAGCGTCGGAGCGGGTTTGGTCGGTTCCTGACAGAAGGACTCTGCAGGTTATTAACCCTTTTCTGCAGCAGCTGCTTCGAGCCTCCTGATCCGTTTAACGCTTAATAACGTCTCGTGTAAATATCACAGAGACACAGCTAATGGTTCAAACTGAAGAGGGCACTTGTACCATTTAGTTTATACGCATAAATTACTTAATGTGTTTAACTGCATAGAAATATGAGCCACTGAATGCACAGTTTAATGTACACATGGTGCAGTGGGCTGTAATGACCATAGAAGCGACTGTTTGGAGGATATTTTTATTAATTACAAAACAACAGTAGCACCTATAATCTTGTAATTTCAAATATTTGTAGTTTAGAACTTACTTGTGATTCTATTGCCTGCATATATATTCTGATTTGTTTTCAGTGTACTTTAATGGTTTTATCTGACTGATACTGTGCAGCACTTCGGCATTCTGTCATGTTTGAATGTGCGACATAAATCAGCTGACTTGCCTTGGTTTTATTAATGAGCAGCTTGTTTTGCATGAGCACAAATTGTGCACAAGTGCTGCAGGAAGAGGTCAAGAAGTGTTTTGTGGATAAATACGTGATCAACACTAAACCTATCAGCATCTGTTGGACAGTAAACCAGGCGTGTCGTCTGGATTACCAAAGTTTACGTCCCCAACGTCCAGCACAGAACCAAAGACTGACTTTATATAAGGGGCTCTGATAAAGGAATGTTTGCTTCTATGCAAAAATGTGCAACTTTTATTTATTTTCTGTTAAATAAATATTAATGTGTCATCAATTCATGCACATAACCCCTTGAGTGTACTCTTTCATATAGTGCAGTTTTATTTGCACAGAGGAATGGAAAAATAAAGACATTTTATCAATAATGATGCAAAATAAGTGTTTTAAAGGTGTAATTTACTCTATTCTGCTCTACTCGATGTCAATCCAGTAAACTTTTAGTCAAATTTATCAAATATCTTCTCACAGCTGTTCATTCTGTTTATGCTGGAAAAAAAAAAAATCAATGTTCTGTAAATAGGAAATAAAAGGCAGCTTTCCACCAAAGAAATTTCAGACACGTGCAAAGAAGCACAAACATTTCCAGGAACGACCCCCAATCTACTCCTACAGCCTTTCTGTTTCTAGAATCCAACAGCCTCAACTGGAAGTGCACCAAAACGACACTAAATAATAGTTCCTGGACGTAACTCTACTTCTATGAGCATGTAGGAAACACACAAATGGGGGTTTGTCATACTAGTCTATATGGCGAAACAAATTCTGCATGGCAATGTTGTGCCAATCAGCATCGAGATTTACACAGTAGTTTTTCAGGGTCATTAAGAAGTAACTGCCACACAGTAAATACATTACTCTCCCTGTAAAACGAGCCTGAAAGAGGTTCTACAAGGACAGTTCTTGTAGTTTGAACATGCACAAAGGTTTGGGTTGCACTGTTACGGCCTGAAGGTTCCTGCTTTGGAAAACAGCTTCAACAAAGTGGCTCAGACCAGTCAGTGCAACACTATTCCAACGAGTCCTGTGCACAGGGCGAAAGAGGCTGAGAGCAAAAGTAAATGCGACACATGACAACCGTGATAACAAGCTAAATATCAACAAGTTAGATTTACAATCAAAGACACCTCCTTCAGGAAATGAAACCCTATAATTGTCTCCGCCCAATCAGGTACGATCTGTCATCACCACACAACGAAATCAATCAGAAATCCTTCAGAACAAGCTGGTTCTAGCAGTTTTCACGTGTTTTGTCATGCTTGTGTCGTTGTCTCTCACCGAGGGTGACCTGACAGACTTCTTGTCCACGTCGACGCCCTGCTGGCCCTGCAGACAGGCGGTCAGCTTCTTGTGTGTGCTGTGGGAAACCTGCTTGACCAGCTCCAGACGCTTCTCCACCTGAAATACAGAAACAGGAAAAAAAATAAAAAAGAGTCAGGCCTCAGCTAGAAATGGATAACACATGTACCCACAGCGATACTCTACAAATGCACACATGATGTCAGTTTCTGGGTAACTCCACTGGCAGTTACAGACGTGCACATGCAGGCACTGGAAGCCTGCAGCTACAATCACCTCTGATTTTCTTTTTAAAAAGCTCCGCAGCTGTCTGTCAGAGCTGTTTGTCTCTAAAAATACTGCCACATAAACAGTCCTCAGCTGGTGAGACTTACACAAGACCATTACCTGTCGTATTTAAACGTCGCTCATTTCATTATTAAACCAACTCAGTGGAACTGATGTCGCTGCCACAGAGGGCATCATTAATCAGATCAATTACGATGATGCACCCCGAATCAATCAGTGGGGACGCTCAGCCTTTTGTCTCGCAAAAGAGCTTCAATTTCAGCGCTCATTAATGTTGCCTGAAGGCAGTTCAGAAAGCCATTTCAAAAAGTCATTTTATGCATACTGAATACTTTGCAGCGCTAATGATTTTCCCAGTAAGAGGCAGCGAACATCACGCAGGAGAGACACAAACACACACGCTGGATGAAGATTCATTAGTACCTGCAGCAGGTCCTCACTTAAAACTTCTGTTTTTTCAGCCCTGGAAGAGAAAAGAAAGACAGAAACTGTTAGGGTGACGAGACAACTGCTAAAATTACATAACTTGTTACTGTGGGAACTTGGCAACATGCGCACATACCATTCAGTCACTGTAATTACATCATTTGCTCAACTTGTGTGCACGAAATAAATAATATTGCGGTCGCCTGCAGCTAATCATATAAGAGGCATGTTTAATTCTGAACTGTTTGGCAGAGCTCAAGGTATAATTACAGAGTTGGGAATGTGACAGCTACTGAACGCGGGCGGGTTTTTTTTTAGCTGAAGAGTCTGACGGTGGTGTGTATTTACAGGTGGAGGTTTTCTTCTGCTTGTTAAGCTCAATAAACAGTGTGGAGAGAAAGCTCAGCGGATGATGTGAAAAATGCATCGTCATTCAGCGGAAACAGAGCTGCAACAATAAGTGTGTGAACCCACTGAACTCTGAGCAGTTTCTTGCTGTTTTTTTTCCCCTCCTGTCACAGTTTTTACTCACTGTGAGCTCAATTTTGATTCACAATCCTGCATCTCTATGGAAACAGCACAACTATGGCTAGAAATAGAATAAACTCAGAAATGTCTTTTGTGCAGCGTGACACAATTAAAATGTAATAAATCATATAAATCATTATTTATTGGTGAAAAAATGGAATCAACATTTTTTCCAAACGCCCACAGGTGTTACCAATGGCAGCTCTACATGCTATCAATAATTTATTATTTACATTTTTACAACCTTTACAAACCAGACATTTCACACCAATCCTGTTGTATTATTCTGCTGCTCCAGTATGATTTATGCTCCCGTGCAGAACAGTGACTTATATCAGCTGACTGTAGAATAATTGCCAGTTAATGTGATACAGTGCTGCTCTATACTGCATGAATACAAGGAAGAGTTTCGTTGGCAGCTCTGTGAAGCAAGGAGCTAAATGCTAATGCTACTCTAGTAACATTAAAGCCCTTATAGGGGGACGGGGTGTTATTTGAGGCTAAAAACATCAGGCTCCTGTCTAAATGAATGGATAGAGAGGTCACCGGGACACAAAATCTGCATGTATAGAATCACCAATTATATCTGATGAATATAGTTGGAAAAAAAAAATGGTGACTTTGCCACAAAAAAGGTTCAAAAAAACACTTCTCCCTGCAGGTCATACTTCTACTAACATGCTTGAGTAAGTGTAACAGTTGGCTTGTTGGTTCAGCTGCTATAAGGCAAACGATTAGCAGTTTAAAAAAAAAAAAAAAAAAGGAGCGGGACATATATAACCACCATCTTTAGTGTTGCAGAATACTCATAATTTAAAAAACAGACATTTCTATTCAGGCTCTTTTAAGTAGTGAGACTCCCTTATAGCATCTTTGGTACCATGCCTATAATGGCAATGCTAAGATGTTGATATTTACCAGATATGACATGTTTATATATGTTTAATTCTATTCACCACAGCTGGTAATTATCACTACACACAAAGCACAGTTAAGGCTGATGGTACTGTTGGTAATTTTTCATGAATTTAGTCAATTTGACCTCATGGTAGCACAAATTAAAACGTTAGGATCAACAAAGTGCAATGTGTCATAGCATTCCACCTACAGTTTCTCCAAACTGATGCACTGATATGTGAATCTATTTTTATTTTATAGGGATGATGCAGTTTGACACAGCTTCATTAGAGTGCATAAAACTCATGAGCTGCACTGGCATTAGCTAGTTTTTATTGGGCCTTTACACGCACAACCTTCATCCTTGTAAAACCATAATCCACGACAGATAAGGAAGCACCATAAAATACACAAAAAAAACAACCTAAAACTATTTATTATCGTCGCTAAATTCGGTGAAAACAGCTCCAAGTCCACTGGTTCCTACTGGACACTTCAAAATGAAGTCCAAGATGTGTATTTAAAGAGCAATAATTCCCTTTAAACAGCTGCTTACCGTTGTTTTTATTAATGTTACTCAAACAGGATGTAATGCTTATTTGGGGGGCTACTTGGTGCGGTGGACTGATTTAAACTTGGTGCTCTGGTGAATATTTTGACCAGCAGGATGTTGTATGTGGGATGGAGTCAACATAAACTTGCATGTATGGTGTTTATTTTAATCATTTTTGGAAAACAAAGGAGCATCTAAACTTTGCAGACAATACTCTGCCGTTTCCATCGGATTTGTTGACACCTGACATATTGTTCCACTTTTAATGAATTACTTTGACAACATCATGCACAATCCATCATTCAGACACATTTTTTGTGCTACATTTCTTTAAGAATCTTCGGATCATTGCTTCCTTCGGGCAGTTTTTTGACAAAAACAACAACACGGATATCGACCAGCAGTCAAATCCCGACCTTCAGGCCAGAACACGCGGAGCATCGACCGCAACGCTGCCCTCAGCAAACGCGGAGACTGACAGCTTGACCCAAACCAGAGTGGAGATAACGCACGAGGCCGCTGTGAGGAGTTAGAGGTTAAAAACGAAGTTGGAGAAAAATGTTGCTTAGAGTGTCGGCGGCTTTTAGAGAACATTACAGCAGCATTTTGAGCAGAACTTTAAGTTACGAATGTCAAAAAAAAAAGCCCACCTGTGGAGTCTTAACATCACCACCAACTTTTTAGATCTACTCGCTCACATTGTACATGTGCAAAAATCATCCCATATGCAGCTCTACAATTCTGCATTTTTGCTTTGGAGGATAGAAACACAAGCGCTGGTTTCTCTCAGTGCTGATCTCGGTTATAAATTATGGATACGCCATCTTTTAAGCTGCTCTGAAGGCAAAGTCAGACCTTTAGAAGCTTTCTGCACCACTATTCATCATCAAGCTCTGATCTGAAAGCTTTTTTTTTATTGAGTTTATAACAAAAAATTAACTGCTCTAACTTCAGGTGAGGATTTATGACTTCTGAGATGACAAATAAAAGCGATTCTTATTCGACACCACCTTCCACAACTGGTAGGAATCAGTTTGTCAAGTATGTTACTCCTTTGCTAGGTTTAAGAACAAATACGACTTGGTTATGGTTAAGAAAAGATTATGGTTTAACCCCCTGATTTCCAAAAGCTAGCAGGTTTGAAACGCATGTTGTCTTTAAAAAAAAAAAAAAAAGCCAAAATTCAACTATTTATCAGCGCCTAAAAACGTGAAGCAGAAGTAAAAAGTAGTCAAATATCTGTAGCATACAGAGTCACCTTCCCACCCCCAGAACTAGTAACACTTGTGGGTGCTTTAAAAAAATGTCACACATGTTGATTCCAGGTTTTTTCCATTTTTGTAAAAATAATGAAAATTCAAATAGTTTTTAATGATTTATGGTACTATAACTGTTGCTTTGTTTCCTAGAGAAGCAGGACTTTATACTGCAGTGAAAAATGACCCCACACGGAGGAAAAAATTGACAGGAGCAAAGAAAAAATGCTCAGAATCTTCTTTGGGATTCAAAAAAAGTACAACTTGCAACTTGTTATGGTTACAAGAGTAAAAAAAAAACACATGGTTAATCTAACAGAACAATTTTGTTCACTGTTAAAAGAATGAAAATGACTGGACATGTTGATCCATCCATCCACCCTGACCTCCTCCCATTGCTTTCCTTATTATAAAGAGTCAGAATGAAATCACAATATTCAGGTTTTGCTCCTAAAGTAAGAAAACCTCGTTAAAAAAAAAACAAAAAAACAACAGAAAACAGCAATTCTACCTTTACATGTGAAGATGTATGAAGATCAAAGGTACATCTTACTGAAGTTTCCTTATAAATAGGGTAAACAAAGTTGATATATTTAACAGAAATGGGTCCGTAAATCAAAACAACACATGCAGCATCCTCATGACTGTGCATATTCCACTAAACATGTTCTAGTTTATGTTCATTTTCTCTGGTTTTCTCCCAAAACCTGTTTATTTAAACCACTAATGCTACATGAGAGTGCAGCAGGTAAACAATTAACAATGCAGACACTCAGAGCAGAAGCTGTAAACACAACACATGCAGAGAGCAAAGAACGGCAAACCCACAGCTACAGCATCTCACAGAACTGCAGGATGATTCTCTCCATACACATTGATTATACATCAGGCACCACTTTCCTGAAAGCATCTTAGCATTAAGACTCTCTTTAGTGCAATATTATCTCCGGAGTTGAAATAGACGAGTGAGCTCCGGTTTCATGGAAGCCTGAAGCACAAAAATCTAATGTGGCTTGAGGACACGAAATTAGAAAGGATCGAGAAGTGTTTCTTTCCCCCTTTTAGGTGATGTGGAATGAAGTGGATGTTAAAAATAAGGCTTCTAAAGGGTAAAAATTAAAGACAAAAACATGTGAATGCACATATGTCACAAGCAGGATTCACCGGCGACGACGTGTCAGACATGGCTGAGGGAGCTGTTTAATTTTCAGCCACTAATTTTAGAGATAAACGCCCTGGAAACAGCTTGATGTGTGTGTACAGTGACAGACTTGTTACACAAAAAACAGGAAGCAGACTTTAGTCATGTAACAAAATGTCCTCAGACACTCATTCCTCCCCTGTGTTCACTTCTTTCCCCTGCTGTGAAAAGCCTGTAGCAGCTGTTTATCAATAGCAGAATTAACCTTCACTTTCAGGGCATTTGTTTGGCTCATGTCGCATTTCTATTCACTCCGGGCTCGTTTTTCACTGCAACATAAAGTCCTGCACCTTAATGGAAACAGAACAACCATAACTACAAGTAGAGAGAACTCAGAAATGTATGACGCAGTTATAATGCCATAAATCAGAAAAAAGACTAATGTATGCCCAAAGGTGTTAGAATACTGGAAAAAACAGGGGCTCAACATGTTTAAGAAACTCAACTATTTACATTTTTACAGCCTCTGCAAACTGAGTGTTTTTCACACCACTCTGCACATCATCTCTAGAGAGATGTTTCACCAAGCAGAATGTGTCTTCCAACAACTTGCACCCCTGTTTCCTCTTTTGTTTTATGGCTGAAGTATATTTTATTTGTCT